ATGGCCCATTCCAGCCCGCTTGACTGCCCAGCCCATCCCATTCTATAAAAGATGATTTAGGATTTTGGACAAAGGTTTGCAACCCAAGCCCGCCCATGAACCCCGCTCGTATAAGCCCACATGTGTAAATCTAGGATGACCATCGCATTAGCTAGACTCAAACTATCTCATCCAAAAAAAAATTAATATTATCCCCCCCAAAAAAAAAATAACACTATTAACTTCAATTTTAATCCATTAAAATCAATACTACTCCAATTAAAAAAACAACAACATTTGATTGGTCATATTATCCTTGTAAATTGTATTTTAAAAAATAAAAATAAAAATAAACGCAATTCGTTAAAATTGAATTTGACAATGACTAGTGATATCTTCCTAACTTTCAACTTTTTACATATAACATTATCATTGTCATAATTTGTTAATTTGGTGAAGTTATACTTTAATTTGATTGTTTTAATAATATTAATTAATTTGATCATATGAACTATTAAAAAAGAAAAAATAAATGTATAGAACTTAATAATATAAGTGTAATAAAAAAATGTGTAATCCAATTCAGTTTGATTTTGGCCCGAAAGATTTGCATTTATAGGTGAGACGTGTTTTTAATTTTTTTAAATAAGTTCGACCCATATCAATCCATTGACTAATCAAAATCCGAAATATGGGATGTGGGTACAATTATTGTGGGCCGAGTAAGCCCGTCCCGTCATATTGATGACCCCTAGGCATTAGTTATGACTTGATTATATATATTATGGTAATAGTTATAACTTATTATTTTTAATGTTAATTATAATATTATTTGATTAGCATCATTATGATCGAAATTGTATTTAATTATAACTTATATAGTGATTGATTATGAATTTTTTTAATATATATTTTTTAAGGTTATTACTAAAAAAAATTCACTTATTACATTTTTAATAATCAACCCAATATAATAAGTTGAATGAATGTGTAGCATTATAGCATAGCATGATCCCCAATAATAATTACCCGTGAGCTGACAGCTTTTACAATTTCAATTTGTGTAATTAAGCCCTCGTATGTAAGTAGGGATGTAATCAAGATATTATTATTAGAGGATTAAACAGAAAAAATATTTTTTTTATTATATACATAAAATATACATATATGTATATATAATTATATATATAATTAAATACTATAGAAGTAATTTCTAATAGGATGAATAAATTTTTTTTTATGTAAAATAGAAGAAGAATAATATATATATTTTTTATATTGAGGGCTATTTTATATATAAAATAATATATATATTTTTAAAATTTTATGACAAATAATAATATTTATAGAAACAAGGGTTCATAGCCCCACATAATATTCTCCTAATTTCATCCCTGTATGTAAGCCTATTTTTGTAGATTCACTTTCTAAATTTAAGGATATGTACTTTATATGAAACATTTTAAGATATTATCACATTATTGAATTTAAAAAATAAATTTAATTTTTTTTTATTTGAGTAACATTACTCTAAGCTAAAATAGTTAAAAATTACTACAAATTCTTACATTACTCTTTTTACATCTCTCTGTTTTTTTATTTTTTTTTATAATGAAAACTTAAAAAATTAACTAAAATAATCAATTCACAAAAGTAGCTCTAAGTGGACGATCATGCACACGTTGCAAAGGTGACGTAGATAGAAAGAACTTTTCCAAATCCCACAAACGCTTTCTGAGATTGATTGCTTGCAAAACGTCTATTTAAGGAAGGATACGCAACATACATCTGTTGCAAGTATCTGTCTAGTATCAGAGTGAGTTAAAGTATACAATACAGTTGAATATGGTTTAGTGATCCAACACGCACTCTGGGCCTCAATTTGACTCGCAGAATCCGAGCGTTGGACGTGACTTCAACAATGTCGATGGCAACCAAGGGGTAGATATTAATTTATCATTCTCATTTTCTTATAATAAAATTTTCTCATTCCTCATTCCTCATTCCCCATTCTTCGTGGCTATTACCTTCCCCATCTCTTATTGGGTTTGGATTTTTCCCAATCTAACTTAATCTTTTTTTTTTTTTAAGGTTAACAACCATTCTTTAAATATTTTTTTTTTTCAAGGTTCACAACCAAAGTTAAATATAATTCAATCTTATTTTATTTTATTTGATTCAACAGCAAAATCAAATACACATTAATTAATTAATTAAAAAGTTTGTTTTAAAATAATCAAATATATAATTTTGACACAATCAAATAAATTTTGGTAATTGAAAAAAAAATGTGGAAGAACGTGGAAGATTAAAAAAAATAAAAATAAATTACAACCATCTCTCTCTCTCTCTCTCTCTCTCTCCCCTACAATGTTATAAGAGCCTATTTACAATGTTATAAGAGTCTGTTTGAAAAATAAAATGTGAAAGATCTTGTTTGAAGAAAGCGTTACAAGACCGATATTAAATTGCATTAGGGCATAAATAAGAAATTATTTGCTGATCTCTACCAACCAACACTAATACAGAGCTACCCATGTTCATCCCAACGGTAGCACGCACACAAAAAAATAAAAAAAAATAAAAAATTGTAACAAATCAAAATGCACAGCAAAGATCCTAAAGACAGAACCAACAAAATAATGTCAAAAAACTCTTTGCCAACCAAAACCCACGTATGGATAACTTCACTCTAAATACACATGTATGTCAAAGTATCTATCTATGTAATTCCAAACATCATAAATGAGTTGCACAAAATTATCAAAGTAGTTAAATGTTCATAGTAAGGCTTAATTCAACTAGAAGCAAAACACACTAAACTCCCAATGCATATTCTTTGGCATTTCAGCTCCCAATTCAACAAAGTGCATTCTTTGACATTTCAACATTAATTTTTTACAAGTTTCTTACAGTAGCAACACTCTAGCAGCAGCAGCAGCAGCATCATTCCAACAGCAACAACGCTCCAGCAACAAAACCTACACAAGGATAATAAAGATCAAAGGAAAAAAAATGTTGCTTGACTTTGATTCACATCCATATACTGAAAAACAATGTATAACATGTAAAAGGATCCAACTATGAAAGTTTGAGCCATCCAACAGGAGAAATGCAAAAGAAATATCAACTTTGATTCACATCCATCTCATCATATATAGTAGTATAACTTGAATTACCTGAAAAATAAGAAAAGAAATTAATTACTAAGACTATTCAATGAAAATATATTTATTTTAAAAATAATTATGTATTGATTTATTTAAGTACATTGCATCTCTATAGCCCACAACCAACTCTGTGCACACATCAATGCTTCCAAAGTATCTAGATGAAGTCTACTCTGATATGGGCTCACCAATCTACCACTAGTGCTAAATGCAGACTTAGAAGCAACAGTGGATATCGGAATAGCTAAAAAATCCCTAGCTATTGCCTGTAAGGTTGAATAATTCGATGCATTTAATTTCCACCAAGTCAACAGATCAAAATTGGGGGTTTTTGTCACAACATCCTCTTCTAAATAATAGTCCAAGTCTGATGTTACATTGTTGATTTTTTTTTCTCCAGTTTCTACTAATAAACAAATCATAATCTGAAACTACCTCTGAATTCCCAAAATTTGAACTTGTAGAAGATTCAACATTAGCATTAGTCTCCAAACTAAGTTTTCTTTGATACTCGTGCAACAAATCATAACAAAATTGGCAAATCTTTGCAATTTCCTCTTCAGGTGTATCTGTAACGCCCCAAAAATTGGGCAGTGTATATCTATTTATGCAACAAAACCCACCTGATAGACAAACACATATATATAGCTACCTATTTCATACATCCATTTTCATTAAATCATAAATGTCAAATACATGTTGTTCACATCTTAACGCCCCAATTCCAATCCCAAGCATGCATTTTACAACAAGTATGAAATGGAAGCCAAACAGATAATAAGTGCCCTACAGGCTTACAAATTTATCCAAGAACATTCTTGGTTACACAAAATGGAGTTTCAACTCAACGCCAATACAGCACTAGGCTTGCATTCAACAAATAACAATAAAACAAAAATGGAGCCTCAGCTCCGAGTCTTCCCAAGTCAGTGCCTTGGTGGAGACATATCACTTGTACCTGAAATGGTTTCCCTTATAGGGTAAGCCACAACCCAGTAAAGATATACTACACAACATATGGACCATGACAAAACCAAAGAGGAGTATGCTCATGCCATACTCATAATAAAACAGTTTATCTCTTTTTTTATAAAGCATGCAATGCTGAGATACAACAATAGATATAAAACCATTTCCATTTTAAACTATATCTGTTACATGAATACAGGCTCTGTAAATCTTTAGGTGAGTGTCTGCAAGTAGCCCTAATGCACTACCACTATCATTTTTTCCAGTAAACTGGAAGGCTCGACACCTAACCGCACGGTTCCACACCCCCTACCCAGATTTACCAAGTATTCATCTTTTCGCAAACAGAAACATTTCTAAGCATTTCTCAAAAACAGATACATTTTCAATGAAATGAATGTAATGCAATATCCAATGCAACAAACGAGGAATGTGGTTCAATTTACCTAAGTCTCATGCCTTTCTACAACAATCATGGCTATTCTCCACCGATAGCCCAAAACAGATATTTAAGCAATTAAATTCCAAAAATTCCAATAAATACAATATATTCCACATATCATTAAATATGAATAACTACACTAATTTTCATATCTCAATCACGTTCGGCAACCTCTCAAAGTCCATTTCTAACTGAGTCGTCTTATTCCAATAGATACATTAAACAAAATAATGCCGTTAATGCCCAAGAAAACATCATTTTCTTTCCAAACTCATTCTCCAAGCATTATTCAATTATGGCATCTTATTTTGATCGAAAAGCCCAAAAGTTAAATCTAATTCCTTTGTTTTCTTTGAAAATACTCTTTTGGTCACAAACCGATAAAAATTTCAAAACCAATCGAGTAACGCCCCGAAATAATACAAAATGAACCACCCACGTTAATCAACATTCACCCAATCAATAATGTCATAACTCCAACCTTTACATAATATACCATCAATGTTTAAATGTTCAAGAATATAGAAATACATGAATCTACAGCATGTGAAGCATCTAATCTTAACACAAATAAAATGCCCCTAAGGGCTTACATCTTCCAAGCCAATAGCCCAGTTACACAAAATGGTCTCTCGGACCCATATAGATTAGCCCTTGGCTTACAAAAACATCACAACAAATGGAAGAGCAAGACTACTCTTCATCAGAACATATCCACGCCCTTAGCCCGGCGGAACCACCACATCTTAACCTGCACCAAATCCCATAGGGGTGAGCATAACGCCCAGTAGAGAATTCTAACAAAGTATATACAGTTATGCAATTCTCAATAAAAATAATGCAAATGCCAATGCTATGCCAGGCTTCTTTAAAGAAATTTCATTTCATGTTTTTCTTAAAGATTTCCATTTTTCAACAAAGGCTTGCAATCTCAACACATTTCAAAAACTTTTCATTTTAATCAACAGGGGCGGTAAATACGACACTGGTAATTTCTAGGCTGGTGTCTGCAAGTAGGCTCTGCAAGCACTACCAAATTTTCATTTTTACCGGGATTAACTGGAGGGCTCGACACTTATCCGCGCGGTTTTCTGGTCTTTCACCAAGGACACTCAGGCCAACTTATTAAATCATCACACCCCCTATTCGGACTTACCACCGTATTTACCCTATACACATTGCCATAATTCTTAATACAACATCACTTTCTTTCATGAAATAAATATCTTCAATCAAAATTTACAATGAAAAAATAATAACTAAATGCATATGCAATGCAGTGATTTCTCATAATCCAAAACATTTCCCATTTCCAAGTTGTCACAACAATGTCAACAATCACATTTTCCATTTCCTCCTTTCATTACTCATTTCCAAGATAACCATGTGTCTTCAATACACAACATCAATTTTTCATCAATTTACCCTTCTCAAGCCACATATGAGGTTTTCAAATACTAACCTCCACCATTCAACATTCTCACCATCCATTATGTACAACAATTACCATTTCTCAATTAAATATTTTTCATACATCTAACAACAACTTAAAGAAAATAATTCCTCCATTTAGCATAAGAAAAGAAGTTATTCCCTAGATTTTCATGTTTTCAAAAAGTCCCAATTTTCTAGGTTTTCACAAAAACCCTAACATTGTTCATCTCTTTTATAAAATCTCATCCTACACTTCAATCTCAACTCCAGTTGTCCAAAATTTCAAGAAAATCTCTAAATGAACACAAGATAGAGTTTGTTTTACAAAAATCATCAATCCCTTGAGTCACCAAACCCATTTTCGAAATTTTCAAGGAGAGTTACAAAATCAACCAAAAACTTACATAAATATATATGACTCAAAAGAAAACTCTCTAGGATTTATAAAAGAGTTGGGATACAACCCACATTTAGAACATCTCTACATTTTCAAAACACAAGATTGAAATCAACAAGGAACTATGTGAAAACTCTTAAAACCAACATAAAGGTAGCAAAACTTGTATATATAACTCAAGAATGTCCCTACCTCAAGCTTGGAAGAGAAGATGAGCAAAAAGGTTGAAACCCCAAAGTTGTCGAAACCAACTTCTACTTGGATCAAAACGAAACTCTTGACAAGATCTACAATCTTTTTCAAAAGAGTAAGGCAAGAAGATGCTTCCAAGAGAGTAGATCTAAAGACTTTTGAGCAAAAAGTAGTTTTGGAGAGAGAAAGAGAGACCCATAGTTTAGAGAGAGAAAAGAGAGAAAGAAAAATAAAGAAAAGCGTCAAGTGAGGGCCTATTTATAGCACTAGGTAAAATTAGAAATAAGCCTCAAAGTTAACCCAAAATATCAAGTCAAAATCCCCAAAAAGTAGGGCCAAAAGTCGGACTAAAATCTGGAAAAAAAAAAAAAAAAAAAAAAAAAAAAGGTTCAATCTGCAGGGGTCTTCCCCTGCAACAGTGGTGTCGACACCAAAGAGGAAAATCTGGGAAAACTAAGCTTGACTGCACTGCTGGTGTCAACCTTACCCCAGACTGGTGTCTACCCTATGTTCCAGCAACCAACACACAGACAGAAGAGGGTCGACCCTCTCCCAGTCTGGTGTCTATCCTATTTTCCAGCAACTCCTCTAGAACTTCACCAACAGGTAAGGGTCAACCCTAGGAAGGCTGGTGTCGACCCTAGGATGGAATTTCTAAGTCTCCAAGGAACTTTTGACAAGAATAAGCGCGAACAACCAATCCCAACAAGTTTAATTCGGACTATACTCCTCCAAAACCAACCCATAACAACACCAAATGTTTCCAAAACATAATAATGATTCAAATACACTTCTTAAAAGTTTTAAAAAGGGTGCAAGTGCTACAATCAAAGTCCGTTTTTGTTTAAATTTAAAACATAACTCTTTTATAACTTTACAAACATATTCCAAGTTTACACTTTCGCAATTTGGGCTTCAACTTTTTATTTTTCTCAAAATTTCTCTTTTAAGCAAATAAATCACAAATTTTTCAAAAAATCTAATTAAATTATATACAACTCTAAGTTCCCTAAAATCAAGTAAAAGTGCATAAAGAAGTGTAGGAAAAATCCCTACCTCAAGCTAGAAGAGGAAACAAGCAAAAATCTAAGGTAGCATTTGGTAGAGTTTTGTAAATGTGATTTGAGAGTATGAGTTGTATTTTGAGTTTGTGTGTTGTGGAATTATGATTTGAGTGTAGAAAATTTGTTTGGTTATGATTTTTAAATAGAGTGTTGAAATGCGTTTTGAAGATGTATTCTGAATTAAGTTTTGAATATTTGATGTGACATGTGAAATAAGAAAATTTGTTTGGTGATGTGTTTTGAAAATAGTTTTCAAAACTTAATTCAAAATAATTTATAATCAAACACTCAACTCATATATCGATATTCGTATTTTTTATCAGCAGTAATAACCAAACTATTTTTAAAATACTGAAATTAAAAATTGATTTTTTTTTTCAATTAATTTTTTTTCAATAATTTTTTTTGAATAATTTTTTTTCATTTTAAAATAAATCTATGTCAATTATTTTGTGTCAATTAAATTTTCTATCAATTCATTTTTTACGCCTGTACAAACATCTTCTACAATACGTTTTTTATTTTTTTTCTAAAATTTTGTTAAAGTCAACAACTTTTGAGAATACATATTAATAAAAATTAACATAAATACACTAAGTTTAATATTTTAAATAGAAATCATAACGTAAACCTTACAAAACATTATCAATTTTTTTTCTCATTTATTACACGTTATTAATTTTGTAATAAAGTCGTAACAGATTGTTCAGTATTTGTTCAGTATACGGATGTAATATTATTAAAAAATTATTAATATTATAAAAAAATAATAGATTAGAAATAAAAAGTAAAATAAAAAATAAAAAACAACTGAACCTTTTGAACCTCAGATAGTCAAACACCAGGAAGTCAGACTGGGACAACCGGGCGGTCAACCGACCGGTCATCCCATCTCACACCAATTCCCACTCAGTGGAAGCTTTTCAGAGAAGAAACATGAGGTTCACGTGATACAGAGAAGAAATATGAGGATGGAGAAGGACATGGAAACTTTTCAGATCAAAAGAGGAAGAAGGCAGAAACGTTAAAAGTGAAGAACTGAAGTACAAGCTACCAAACGGGTTTTCAAACTGTAATTTGAATTAACACGCGGAATTGTATTTTGAATGTTCTATCCAAACGTGAAGCGAGAGTTCACGTGTTGAAAGTTAATTTGAAAATACAAACAAATAGAGCCTAAATTTTCGATTTTGTCGGATTTTGATCTCCACTGATCAAAATATTGCTCTCACCAAGCTCTTCACTTTGGCCTCAAGACCTAGGGTACAGTGGATTGGACACAATTAATTTACATGCTAATCTTCACTAAAAAAAAACAGCCAAGAACTTCTACAAGAAGCCAAAACTCCCAAATATAATCGGAAGATTAAATAAATAAATTTAATGGTTACTTATTGTGTGTGTGTGTGTGTGTGTGTGTGTGTGTGAGAATAATCATCAGATTGAACAAGAAGAGAAAACTTTGATGGGATTTATGCAAAACGGCAGTCTCTCACTTCAATTTATTACTAAAATTTATTTATATATGCTTTTTTTATATATATAGAAATAGGAGGAAGAGAGTGGTTTACCGTTTGGGTCCACAAATATAAATAAATCTGGTGGAAGCCGCTGCTGCGCAGCAAGTAGATCTCGCCGACCTTCAAGTGGCAACAACGTCACTGGTGAACAATATGTAGCTGAGCCAAGCACAACTAACTACGGTAATGAGTTTCACAAAGTACTGGCGACAAGGATGACCGAGGTCGATGGCAATTAAAATGGAAGACAAGTTAAGACACGGGTAAGCGGGGAGATAGATTGAAGGTCGTTTCTTTGCTCTCATGCATGCTCGCCGAAAACCCTCTCGACTAAGGAACAACAGGTGACAAACAGATGGAATTGCACAGCATAAAGCGCATAATCTTTTTGCAGTCAGGTGTCTGATGATCCATGAATTGAATATGAATGGGATTCCCCTTGACAAGAACTGCGTAGCTGTTCTCCTCCAACACCCACACACAACACAATCATACACATTTTGAGAAAGAAAGAGAGTTTTTTTTTTTTTTTTTTTTTTTTCTTAAATGACTCTATTTCATTTACATTTTTGAAAAAAAAAGGATTTTTTTTTTTTTTTTTTTTTTGTGGTGATGCAGGCCAAGCATATGGAGCAGCCGCTGGCCGTTCTTTCTCCTCCCTCTATCTTATCTCCTGATGATGTATCTATAGTGTGTATAGTATATTGAGAACAATCAGACCCATCTCTCTCTCTCTAGAAAATATTTTTTACACCTTTTGAACCCCACTCCAGCACCTCTTTTTTATATTCCTTCATGAGAGAGAGAGAGTGATTTGGTCTCTTTTTAGCCATCTCCCCCAGATTCTCTTTTATTAGTGGGATGATTTTTTTTTGTCTTCATAGTGTTTGCACATGGATTAGATTTAAGTGCAAGTGGGGGAAGCTGATGTTTACACTTGAGAATCAATCTGCCGCTACCTTAGAAAAAGAATAGGTGGAACGGCTCCTCTCTCTTATTTTATCATTCACTCCCCCTCAATCTCTCTCTCAAATAAATCATTCTCCACCATCAAAAATCATAAAATCTCCCACCACCGAAAACATCATCACGTGTATTCCACCCTCTCTTTACTTTCTCTTCCCCCCAAAAATTCTCTGATCATATTCTTTTTCTTTTTTTTTATTTTACTATTCTCTATTTTCACAAATCATGGTCCGAACATCCAAAACTTAAATTTTAAATTCTGCACTGACTACTTTTAAAAACAAATTTTAGGTCATCACAGTATCTCCATAAAGTTTATCAAAATAAAACTCCAACACACTAAGTTTGTAACTAGGATCAAATACAACAGCAACTCCTATAAGACCATGTATAACAACCCAATATTTATCAAACTTTCCCAACATTATTTATGTCATTGATCTAACCACCTCAATTGAACAAGAGAGTCATTGAGAGATAGTTATCCTAATCTCACATAAATTTGGAAAAGCAACATTAGCTGTGGGATATTTAGTTCCAGAAAACAATTCAGTTGCTTTATAAAATATTTTGGATCTCCCACAAATTTCTCTAGCAAACTCCCACTCCTCCTCACTTGGCAATGTTGTATGTTGGGTCTCTTTATATTTCAAACGGTAAAATACATCCTTACATAACAAGGCAGTTTAAAGTATCAAGTATGTTGAATTCCACCTAATTGCACAATCAAGTTCAACATAAACACCAGTGGCATCACACATGTATTTGCTGATATGTGCACAGGCAAATACATGACCTAAGAAAGATTTTTGCGAATGTAACTGTTGTGATGTAGATGGGCATTGGAAGGAAATAGAAGGAGGTTATCGACGTTAATGATAAGATTGCTTACAGTTTCTGTCATGACCCGAACCCGCTCCCGTGGGCTAAGGACATAACCGGCCAGTAATCATGAAATTACCTACGGCCTCAAACCAAACCAAATGTATGTTACCAGAGTTAATAGGGGCCAAACGGAAGCAGTTTAAAACTTTGTCCATAGAGCCGTGTTTACATGGCACATCATAACAAACCATACATATGCATATTAATAACTCACAACAAAATATGTACTACACAAGGTTCTGTACATACAAGATCATATAAGTCTAAGTCAACCCAAGAAAACTATATACAACATGTTCAAAGACTTCGCCCACATGACAAAATAAAACAGAATGACAAAAGGCAAAGACGGGTCTCGTGCGTGAGACGCAAGGGCTGACTCTTCAAAACCTTTGTTGTTCCTCACAGACTTCACTGGGGTTGGGTTTGGACTTCTCTTGGCTCACCTACAAACACATGAATGAACGTGAGCGAAAACTCAGTGAATAATATCAAATAAAGAAGTTATACAAACGGTATGTAGAACAACATACTTCAAACGGCCTTGGGCCCAATTCATATTTTTATTTATGTCAAACTGGCCTTTGGCCCATTCATTTATTCGTATCAAACTGGCCTTTGGCCCATTCATTTATTCTTGTCGAAACGGCCTCTGGCCCATTCATTTATTCATGTCGATACGGCCTCTGGCCCATTCATTCATTCGTGTCAAAATGGCCTCTGGCCCATTCATTATAAAACTTACATAGAAGTAAGTAATTTGGACAACAACATATTTCAGATATCTTTGTTAAGACATTACTCACAGTGATAGGTTGGTTGGTTGGCCCTGGAGCTCGACCCTACACATTCCATGAACACAAAAGGGTCACAAACAATTCAATCCGTTCTAAATTCACATTTTCCTCTTTAGGTTTCATTCTTATCTCTTTAACTCAATTATAATGCTCAATGCATGCCTAAGAGTACTTAGAAGTGAAAGATGACGAAAAACGAAACTCAGAATGCCTTTTCAAAATTTCAGAAAACAGGGTCCCCGCTCGAGCGTGGACTTCTCCGCTCGAGCGGACCCATGAGGTCTGCAAAAGTGCTGGATGCATCAAAATTACGCTCGAGCGTGAAATATGGTGCTCAAGCTGAAGGTCTGTCTACGTAGCTCCCCGCTTGAGCGTGAACTTTTCTGTTCGAGCGGACATCCAAGTCTGCAAAAATACTGGGAGCATGAAATTCACGCTCGAGTGACGGTTTCCCCGCTCGAGCGGACATCAAATTTTCTGGATTTTCCAGAACATGTTCTTAAGCTCCAATTTGACATTCAATGGTTCTAGATGCATGCTTTTGGCTCAAACTTCACATAATCATATACCAACATGGTACCAACACCAAATTACAACACAATGGAGCTCAATTTCACAAATTAATCACATGCATGTCCCAGTCTGCACCAAATTCACTTTCAACATAACAATTTCATGCATTCAAGCTCATACTTCTCATGAATGGTACATGTATGTGAGATATAACTTCCCATTTCAACTCAAATTGTACAAATGGTGGTCACAAGCATGGATTCTAGCCACAATTCTACATGGATCATATTTTTCATGCTCAACTATACAAATTCATGGCAATTATACACATGCATGCACTCCATGACTTCAAACTCAACAAAACCAACTCAATACATGTTCTTTATCATCATTCAACTTTGAATTCACAAATTTCAAACTAAAATCCATGAGTCAAGAGTTGATTACTCACCTAGGAGCCTTAATTCTCACAATGGTGGTTAAATCTTGCACCTAGCCTTCCCAATTCACAAATCTTGAGCCAAAATACACAAAGGTGCCTCCTCTCTCTCTCAAGGTCGGCTCTCTCTTTCTTTAGAGAGTTGATTTCAGGCAAAATCATATTAAAGAGAGGAATTAAACATAATAAGGCCTTTTATATGGCCCCACTCAAACACATTATTTTAATACCAATTAATTGAGCACTAGGACACTAATTTAATCTGATTAATTTGATCCGAATCAATTTTCAATTAAATTTCACCGTGGGCTCTAAAAATTACGCTAATCACAATGGCGTAATCAATTTCGGGTTCCGTGGCCGATAAGGCTTTCAATTTAATTTCCAAAGCAGACAATCAAACATATATTCCTGTGGTGAACAGATAGAAATTCAAAACCACATATTTTCACATAATGGCACACAAAATCATATCAAACACATAATCATATTCATGTTAAGGACCAATTAGCATATTACAGAACAAGGATATTACAGTTTTCATGTAAGTTTTAGTATTATTATTGTATTATATGTGTTTAGCACCTCTACAGCTTCCTATATCTCTCAACTGCTTCATTTTTTTACAGGATGATTCTAAAAGGGAAAGATCAGCAAAGGGTCGATACAATGTGTAACTGCCCCTTGGCCTGATTATTGAGCTCTCTACTTGCAGAGTTGCCTAGCTGTGACAAGTACTAGATCGTGTTACTGTTTCCATAGGTGCTCATATCTACTGCAATTTAATTGGAAGATTTTGCGAGTGTAATATGCAACACAATTTCATTTTCCAAGTCCCTGAATCAACCCTTAATGCCATTGAAAAAATTTATAGCCAAAACTTCTCTCGTGTAACAAAATCATCCCTTTGGCAGCACATGGTAAAAAAATTACAGCATAGTCAGGTTTAACAAAGATTAATAACTCTACTAAAAATAAGAATTAATCTGAAAACCTATTCAGCATTTTTACCCAGGATTCAACATTACTCACTTCAATCCTCTTCACTAGATGCCAAAGATTCTCTCATCTCTACTCCAACAGGTGAGCTTTACCATGGTGATAACTAAGATTTACTACACTATGTATTAAACTACATTTTCACAGCATTAGAAGTAACTGTCTTGCCTCACATGTACCACTTAAAGTGACCAAACTACAAATTAAGCAATACAAAAGCATAAACATACAAGATTGCACCCTGCTTTTTGATGCCTTTCTCTAATAAATTTACTTGTCAAAAAACAAAAATGAATCATGGGAAGAGAAAAGCAGAATCATGAGGAGAGAAAGTAAAACAGATAACAGAAAGTAAAAGTTTTCTAGAAAAATATAACCTTTTATTTTAACTAAACTAGTAAAATAAGTTTTTACCAATAAATAATAAAAATGGTGATAATGTATTATATTAAAATTTCTAATAAACTTTATTTATATGGTTAAAGTTTGTATAATACAGTGCTTTAGAACCTTTTAAGCATCTAACACCAATCTGTTAAAATATCAATACTAACAAGCACAACAGTGTTCTATGAAACAATTTACATCTTTCATAAAAGCAAAAAATTACTTTAACTAGTATAGAAGATGCAACAATGACATACATGACCTCGTGAGATCATCTTTTATTATTCCCTTCCTACTTACTGAAGCAAAAGCAACTAAGTAATAAAAGATGCAACAATGACATACAAATTCTAGAAGTTTATTGACGCTCAAGAGATCAGAGGTTTTTATGGCCTGCTCTGAATTATGTTTGGCTTGAGTTTCAAATGACTCTGGAAGAGCTTCATCATCTATTGTAAAAATTGGACCAGCCTGCACATTGAAAATGAGAATAATCAAATCTCAACAGTCAATTTCAAATAGTAAAAGATCGAAGGTGATTACCTCATCCAT